AAAAAAAAAAAAAAAGTGTACACATGCCTAACATTTAAAACTTCAGGCTAACTAGAAACTGAGAAAATAAATAGAAGCCTTTTCAGTACGGAAAGAGAGACTTTCTAGAGAAATTCAGTGTAAAATGCAACATTCTTATTTTCCCAGATGAGATAATGTGGTAAAGCCCAGCATTTATATTTGTACAATTGATTCAATCAACCTGTAAAGTGATAGTTGGTTACTCTTTAAAATTGCAATTTTGGGTGGCGCCTGTAGCTCAAGGGGCTAAGGCGCCAGCCATGTAACACTGAGGCAGCGGGTTCAAATCTGGCCCAGGCCTGCCAAACAATGACTACTACAGCTAAAACATAGCCAGGTGCCTGTAGTCCCAGCTACTCGGAAGGCTGAGGCAAGAGAATCACTTAAATCCAGGAGTTTGAGGTTGCTGTGACCTGTGATGCCACAGCACTCAACACCAAGGCAACAGCTTGAGACTCTGTCTCAAAAATAAATGAATAAATAAAATTGCAATTTTGGGTATTTAAAAAAATTAATTTAAAATACTTTATTTTGAAAATACATATCTTACATATCTACATTTGTATATGAAAATAAACTTTAATACATATCTTTCTTTCAGTGTTCATATACAAAGCTCAGTTAAGTGGTCCTGGAAAAAAAAATCCTTCCATGTTGTTCCAGGTCCCGTTCAAGAAGTTCTTCCAGTTCGCAGTCAAGATCTCGTTCCAGTTCCAGAGAACGTTCGAGATCTCGAGGGTCGAAATCAAGGTGAATGAGGTAGCATCTCTCTGTAAAGCAGAGAGAAAAAATATTTAGAGGCTGCAGAAGGTGTTGCTGCTTTTTTCTCCCTTATTTTGCTTCTACTTGTTGATTTTATTTTAGCATTAGAAAACTAATGCATTTGCCTTGGCTTAATTTTCTCACCATGAAATGTTTTCATTGCCAGCAGTGTGCCAAGACATTCCCATGATTGAATTAAGGTGGCTATTTTACATTTCACAGGGTTATGTGGTGTTAAGATGTGATGAATAGGAAGAGGAAGCCACATCTCCAGTATGTTGTTGCAGTAGTTTAAATAAAATTAGATGTGCAAATAAAAAGTTAAGTTTACTACATTAATAAGAGGAAAACCCTGTCTCAAAGCAGGTTTTGTTTTGCCTGGTAGTTGTTTTAATATGTACAGAAACAAATTTGCCATTTATATCAGATAAATCTAGGGAGTGTTAGATATTTTTGTCCAGTTTTGCAGAGGGTATCATAAATACTATCTGTAGAAAAAACACCCCTCTTAAAACTAAATCAAAAAGTATGATTGGTTAGGTTAGGTGTGGGACGTGGTCCTTAGTAACAAACATTGTTATAAACTTCAGTTTTCACATTTAGTCAGACCTATGGAGGGGATCGTAATTTATAAGGATGACTCTCTTGCAGAATTTTTTGCAGTTAGTGAAAATATGGTGCCTTTGTTTTTAAGTTAATTTATGATGTAGAGGCATCTAACAACTAAAATTTTACTTTTGTGGAAATTCACACTAAAAGCTTCTATTGGTTCTTTTGGTAGCAATTATTTACTGGTTGATTTGAGCCAAATCTAGCATTAAAGTGTAACTGTAATATAATCATATTAAGGAGAAAAGAATGATCCACACTTGTATTATGCCAATACAAACTAGAGAGCAAATGTGTTTAGTAGTAGTATTATTATTTAGTATCAGTATTTTAGTCCTTTTAGTGCTTTTTAGGTAAAACACTTAAGTTCTGGTATTCCCTTTGGGATCCACTGTAATTCAGGATTTACAGAACAGCCTTCATATTCTTCCCACACATTTTTTTCATTGCTTATAACTTTCCAAAGAATTCTCCTTTTGGGCTTTCTGGTTTTATTTTAAACCCAAAGGTGAATTTTTTGGGAAGTTTGAGTTAAACTCCGTCAAACAAAATACATAGATGAAGAAAAAAATTGCCTTTAAACATTTGCACATTTCCTTCTACCTGAAGCATGTGAATGTCAACACTCCATACTTCATGAATAGTGGGTCTCCATAAGAATAAGTGTTGTAAATATAAATGGTTTTAAATTTACTCATTTTATTTTATTTTACTTTGTATATTTAGCAGTTTAATACAGTAACTGGTTGGGGTTTTTATTTTTATTTTTTTTGTTTGTTTGTTTCTGCTCCATATCTCTGGTTTTTTGTAACACCTTAACTATGAGTTAGTTTCATAATTCCACAAGGAATTACCTTAATTTTCCTCAGGAAGTTGTATATAAGATAGATATTTTTTCCCCAAATGAAAGGATAGACTTTCTAATGATAAAGTCACATAAAACCTGTTGTTTTTACTATTTATGTATACTTTGAAAAGCCTTAAACTAAAAATATTTAAATTCTATTTTAATACAGTAAGCTGGCTTTTAATTACAAGTGATGAGCACTTATCTTACAATTTTAAAAAGTGGTGAAATTAAAATAATTGTATTTAAATAGAGTATTTTCATGGTTGATCCAGAAGTCTTCTGTTGAGTAAGCAGTAAGTATTCCTTAAAACATTTCCATAGTTGCTTTAAATCCTATTTGTTTATTTTTGGGGCTGTCTGATAACTAAACATTCTTCCTCATTTCTTCTTTTAATGAAATGTTTGATTTGTTTCTCAATCAATGAAGATCCAGCTCCAGGTCCCACAGGGGCTCCTCTTCCCCGCGAAAAAGATCTTACTCAAGTTCATCATCTTCTCCTGAGAGGAACAGAAAGAGAAGTCGATCTAGATCTTCTTCATCTGGTGATCGCAAAAAAAGACGAACAAGATCACGGTCACCCGAAAGGTTTGGGTTTCTGTAGAAATAAGAATGAGTGTTCTTAAGTGTATTTAATAGATACGCTGAACTTTCTAGTCAAGGGTTAGTTTTTCATTATCTCCTTTGTTCCCACTTTAAATTATACTTTTCAACTTTGAACTTTAAAAAACATAACTTTGCTTAGGCTTTGTACTTTGATCGGATTGTTTACAATAGTTACAGATCAAATTATTCTTTGATCATTTTATTGTTTAAATTTTATTTCCATACATAATTATTATAGCCAACTCTCGGTTATTTCTGTCTTTTAAGATTACAATTCAGAACATATATGTAGAAGTAATTTATAGCTTGATTTTTATATTTGTACTATTTTAAATTTAATTAGAAATCATAGGAATCTTAGGGCATCTAATAACAAAATAAATTTCAGATCATTAGAAATCTGTCCTTATTTAAATATGTGTAAATGCATTTCCAAAGCAAATTATTTCATGGCCTTTATAAAGGAATTATTCCTTGTAGCCAATACATTTTTCATATTGCGCTCCAAATCTTTTTTTTGTTTGTTTGTTTTTGAGAAAGACCTTTGCTATCTGTATTGACATTTTTAAACTTTGAACAGTGTGGTTGTCGTCTGTTGGCATTTCCTGCAACAGACTTAGT